GCTGTCTGCAAAAGAACTCGCGCCGGGCGGTACCGATCTGCCTACATTTCCGGTGTTAGCGTAGAGGCCATGCACTGCGCCATACATTTAAAAGCGGAAACAGATGATAGCGCCAGCTCTGCCACAGTGGCGGCACAACTGAATTTCTACTCGATGACTCTCTGGATGATATGACTGGAAGGCTGGTCGTTGTCAGTGCACCACGGAACATTTCACAGCAACGCTGGAAGAAATGTTGGGAACGAATAAGATTCCGGTGCTCACTGCAGAAGATGGGGTTCAGGTTCGATCCCGTGACCCGCCACTGGCAGCGTGGAACGTTGCCATTGAGCTATTGCCAATGCGTGTCACGCCATGAAAGTTATGCACATGAGCGCACATATTGGCTTTACCGTATGGGAACTTGTAGCAACTGCAATGCGGCAGCAAAACATCGCGAACGCACTAGAAGCTGGTCGATGCCTTCAAGTGGAAATCCACACGAGGAACAAGGAACGTGGAATCATGGACATGACCCTTCTTGAAATCGACCAGCCTTGCCACACTATCTGCAAAACTTGCGCCACTCTCGAACCCTGGATGACAGGACTCAAAGCCCGGTTTTTGCCAGTGCACCAGGGATCACTCGATCACAGCATCGGAAGAGGTCTTGACAACAGGTAAGCAACGGATGTTGTTTGCAAATCTTAGACTCCAAGCGGTGTAGATCCAGCAACCTTGCCAGCGGCAGCGTGGAACGTTCCTATTGAGCCACTGGCAATTTGCCATGATAACCCCCACGTTGCCTGCAAATCTTGAGCCACACACGGGTTTCGCGACTATGTATGCCGCTATTTTTGTACCTCATCGGACACTGTGGCAACTGTGTATGCCACACCAATTACATTTATTTTTGCGCACATGCCCGATTTCTTCCCAAGTTTTTGTGTTCATTTTATAGGCCATACATCAACATAACCAAGAACCACGTGGCTTACAGAATGGCCAAATATTCTTTAGTTTGGCAGAGGTTTTCCAGACCTTACGAATATGTCTGTTCAGTTCATTCCTCGTTTTCTTTTCATTAACGTAAACATGTTGATAAAAAGGAATAATAGAAGCGAATACAAACCTATTCGTATGGGAAGATATGTGTTTTTACTGAAACAACCACGTCCAAATTAATTTTGGAACCACTAAAGGGAAAATAAGTAAAATTTGCCTTTTCATGGCCTTAACACGTCATTTCGGTCGAACTTCCATTACTGTAACTCCCGATAAGTTAGACAGATCGAACATTATTGAAAACACTTCATCGCATCTAAGTATTGCGTATTTACAGCTCAAAATCCATGGATTTGGTGTGCGGCGGCGGCGCTCGCAAAATCGCTCTGGTCCCACGCGGTGCAAAAACACAAAACGCGCGATGTCGTCAACGTGTTAAGGAAGGCTCCATAAGAAATGAAATGATCGAAAAAGAAAATGAAAGATGAAAACGTGGAATCCCATGAAAAATGTGACATGCATTACAATGCAACTTTGCACACTAGTTCTAATTTGCTCTGCAATTTTTCGAAAAAGTCGCTCTGTCCTACTCCGCAAAATTATAGTTCCACCCCATATTTTCTTGTGCGCTATACAAAACCATTGAAAGAAAAATACCTCGGTCAAATCGTGATTTTTTGTGGGCTTGTAGTCGAAATCCTTAATCGCACCTTCAATTGAATATGTGTTCGTTATCCCTAGTAAATTCACCTCCAATCTGAAATTGCAAATCTGCCTCGCTTCATTTGGATACAGTCGTATCATATATGCTTTGTTAAGTTTTTCTGAACACTTATTGCTATTATTGGCTTTCACATAGGCGGTGGTCATATAGGCGGAGTTAAAGGCACAACCCAGGCAGAGTCGTGTGAACGCTTCCCTTCGGTCTGTAGTATAGACCCCTAGAGGACAATCACAAATGTGGCGTTCCCGTGCACGGAAACCAACCGACAAGAGCGCTTGGGCCTTGCAAAGTAAGCTGCTGAAGCTGCAGATTTTTTTCTCTTATCAGGCTGTTGTCTGGCGCTCTCTCATCTGTAGCGCTCTCGCCCATACTCTCCTCTCCGCGCTTAGTCTCTCATTCCCTTAGCACAGCCGATTAGGAAGGTGAGTGAGCCCTTAACCTGAGCGTTTTCGACGGATTCTTTTCCTTTTTTCTTTACTGCCGGCCCATTTCGTACCCATTCGTGTGCAAGAGCCACACCAGTGTGATCCTGGGGCATGCCTTTAAGCTACATTTCCCATCAGTGGGCCGTACCCCTCACCATCTCGTCCGGGGGCTAGAAAGGCGCAGCCTGCCTAGTGACTCCGCCCATATGCTTGGCCTCAAGATAACACCTCATTCTCAATCCCCATCCCTATAGATAAAAAGTATTCATTAATATCAAAGTAAGTACCTGTTCATTACTGGTGGGATGTGAAGCCAGACGGCCAACCACTCGCATAAGAGGGCAACGAGATAAATCAAACAAAAAGGAATCCTGATCGAAGGCGCAGGCCTCGAGAAGGCCTTTATTAGAGGGAGCCAGAACAGGAATGAGTCCACTGGATTGGCATCGACCACATAGTAAGGCTGCATAAAGGTAAACACCTTGAATTCATCGATTCTGTATGATTTATT